AGCAATTTTTTTCAAATCTACCACCGTTTCGTAATGGGATTCCTTTAACGAAGAAGAAACGGCTTAATAAACTCCGTAGGTCCTCCATCCTCCTTTTTTATTTTATTTCTCAAACATTGAAATATCAAACATATACATTAGAGGTAAAGAAGAAACAGTCAATTATTTTTAGGAATTGGCTTAGAAAATATTGTTTAAGTTACACATACTTAAAAGTACTTAAAAAAATAAATAAAAACGTAAATACTTAAAAGTCGGTACGTAATTTTTAACATAATTATTGTATTTACACGAAAACTATACACAGTTAAAAAATAATGATTTACGAATTTTATCGCGTTATTCAAAAAGTTAATAAACTGAGTATAAACTTGTCTTTGATTAAGTTTTTATAATACAACAACATAATCTTTGCATTATTTTATATACACGTCTTAGCATCGTCGGCAAGGCTTTTGCTAAGGCCATTTCGGCTAAACTGCAAAGGCTTGCACAATTCGGCTTTCGGGCACAACGGTCTACTGTCGACATGATATTCTCTCTTCGACAAGTGCAGGAAAATTGTAGAGAGGAGAACACTCCTCTAGTCTTCGCCTTTGTTGACTTAAGCAAGGCTTTTGACACTGAGCAGAAAGGGGCTGTACTGAGTTCTTGTCAGCGTTGGTTGCCCCCCGAAACTACTGAAGATAGTGCAGTCATTTCACGAGGGTATGGAAGGGACAATCCTTTATAATGGTGAGACATCTGCTTCTTTTAACATGTGTCGAGGCGTTCGGCAGGGGTGTGTTTTGGCACCTACTCTCTTCGGAATATTTGCATGCATTTGGAGACGACCAACGAGGCGTCAATCGAGATCTGACGGTAAGATGTACAACATATCGAGGCTGAAGTCCAAGCGACACTGTAGGGACTTGTTCGTAGACAGTCTTCACGTTCGTAGACAGCTCCTAATCCTCCTGGATAGATTCGCTAGAGCGTGCGATCTATTTTCTATGTCAATCAATGCCAAGAAAACCGTGATATTGGCGCAGGGGTGTTCAGAGCAGCCAGTGATCTTGCTAAATGGCTCATCCCTTGAGGTGGTCAGTAAGTTTCGCTACCTAGGATCGCTATAGCCACTTCGTTCGGGAGGCTGCGTAAAAGGGCTTAGGATAGGCCTCACGATAAAAACGAAAATACTTATTTACCAAGCGTACGTCCTAAGCACTCTTTTGTACGGAGCGGAATCGTGAACTACATACACAAAACAAGAACGCCGACAGAACACTTTTCATATGCGCTGTTTTCGGAGCATAATGGGCATCACGTGGAAGGATCATGTGACAACAGAGTCTATTCCAGGCATCGCACAGCTGCATAGCGTCGCAGCCAAATAAAAAAGAGGCGTTTCTAGTGGCTCGGGCATGTGTTTCGAATGGAGCAGTCTCGTTTACCACGCCAAATCCTACTAGGAGAGATCGCAAACGCAAAAAGATCGGTCGGGCGGCCAATACTCCGCTATAAAGATTGCGCCGAGCGTGACATGGCTGCCTTTAACATCCCTAGCGACCAATGGCAGGAGCTGGCCGAGGATCGCCTCGAATAGCGTCGCCGTATCCACGAGGGTCAGTCCAAACAGGACGACACCTGGTTCCAGGTATTAAAAGAGAAACGTATGAGGTGCCACGAGCAGGTCTCCCATCCTCGCCCACCTGGGAGAGCATACACTTGTCGTGAGTGCGGTCGGGGGATACTCTCTCGCATAGGCCTGTCCAGCCATGAACGCAGGTGTCGTCACCGTGATGCTACTTAAAACACCTGACACAGATGAAAAGGCCTATAGATATATGTATATTTTATATACAGTATACCACTGCTTAAGCAGTAAGAATGCGTGCTCATTATGGAACATATTCACCTTTCAAACGCAGTAAGAATAAAATTCAATCACGACAGATTGACGAACCAAAGGTCACTATCCCAAGGCCACTAGCCCAAGGTCACTATTATCAACAAGTATAATTTTCAACAAAAAAAAAACCGACTTCAAACCGGAAACTAAAAAGCATTGTTGCTTAGTATAAACATTTGAGGATTTCCCTTGATTTCTCTAGGATGCCTTCATCAGATCCGGGTTTCCTTATCATGGTACCACCGTTGGGATATCTCCTTTCCAACAAAAAAATAAACATCAAAATCGGTTCATAAACGACGAAGTTATCCGCGAACACACATAAAAAAAAATATATATATACGGCCGAATTGAGAAACCTCCTTCTTTTTTGAAGTAGGTTAAAAAGGGCGTTCTATTGCCATGCAAGTTAGAAAACAATTTAATCTCGCGTAAGCCACATTGCGTTTACTGCAACCGCATATGTGTCAGGAAGCTACTTTTCACATTCAGCGTACAATAAATAGATAGCGATCTGAATGAAATACCCATCTACGCTTCCCGTTACATAATTAAAAACTTACATTGTTTTGATTTTGCCAAATACAATTAATATAACGTAACTTAAGAACAATTAATATACGTAACAGTGACAAAAATATAACCTAATACAACTGACTTATTATTATAGATTATATATTTTATATTATAGTAGGATTGCAGATGCGTTGCCACCTTATAACCCTTCTGGTGCGGCAGATATCAATGTACGCCGGTGAATACTATGTTTAGGATTCACCGGTGTACATTGATGTCTACATCATAACAACATACATCGAAAACTGAACCAATTTGCCTCCATTATCCATAGATAAAGAAACCAAGACACTTCTCTCAACAAACACCATGCAGGATTCCAGAATTAGGTAAGAAATACGTCTTTCCTCCGTAAACATATTCAGACTACAGCAGGTTCTGATATGTGACCCTACCACACTAATAAATAAAGCTCCAAATTTAAATAAACCAATAGTCGGAAGCCTTCACGGTGGTAGGGCCAAGCAGCAGCCTCAGCTGTTGCACGAATGGGCAGGCTCGTCCGGGTAAGTACCACGACTTGACAGAAGACCGGCGTAAAGTGGAAGTATAATACTTTCGCGTCTGGTGAATGAGGTGGCCGGAGCCCAATTTTCAAAAGGATGTCAACACATCTGGAACCCTCGGGTGTAGCAGATGTCCATGGACGGCGGTATTCACTTAACATCAGGTGAACCGTCTGCTCGCTTGGCAACTTTTCACATAAAAAAAGAAAAGCCAATTAAAAGAGAAAGTTTAGATTGAGATAGTGGGCAGAAAGGCAAGCTGGTAGATGTTAATAAACAAGCAATTTACGATACTCCGGTCTCGAAACCGGGAAAAATTTATCAGAAATTTATCAGCTTCAAAGTTACGTTCACGCCTCTGATGGAATAAAGTTGAAGAAATAAGGTGACGAATGTCGAAAAGTTTTAATAATCTTCTTCGGGGGTCGACTTAAGTGAAAGAAAATTATACAATTGAAAAAAGCGACCACTTAGCCAACTTGGGGCATTCCAACGTAATTTTATGAAGACATTCGTCGGCTGACAATGAGCTGCTGATAATTGAACATACAATGGTTTCACGAAGGGGCAGCTTGGAATCTTTTTTTTTTTTTTTTGCTTTCATCCTCATATTCCTATCATTAAGGATTTTATTTAGCGTTTCATTGCGAGACTATTCTGTGACGATGTAGTGTTCGAAAGGCTAGGACTTAAACCAAAATTGGAACGAGAAAAAATCGGTACCTTTGTTTTATTCAGTTAATTAAAATATTATTTTATTTTATTTTACTATTTTTATAATAATCATATACTAAATTATAAAAAAACACATATCTTAAAATTTTATTTATGGCAAAAAAGATCAATCTTTCAGTGTTTATTTGAGAGCACGGAAAACATTTCAGTGTGCCCACTTTCAATACGTTTCATCATCTTCAATAAAAAAACGAAAACAAATCATCTTCGCTTTCAGTCCAATAAGCCTATAAAATGTACTTTATTTATGCAAGTAAAAGAAGTACTGATTGCATATTATTAGTTTCGATTCATTCGATTATCTGATTCAACATTCAATTTTTTTTTACATTTGTATATCTTTAATGAAATGGCCAAAGTTTAAGGCGTTCAGTTCAATTTTCATCATAAGTAATAATTAAACTACGATAAAGTAGGGTTGATACCCCGGTTTATTCGCTTAATTTTATTCTAACTTATATATGATTGCATTTTTCGGTTAAGCTACCCTACCTATGGATTTTTAACTTATTATCATTTTAAATATGCTTTTGACAGAGAGTTCAGTTAAATAAAAATATCCTTCGACTTAACTGTGATGCATTTAATTGTGAAGACATGTGTACAAATACGTAGATTCAATCCCAATTGGTCTTCTATTGGGATTGGGTTTGAATCCTGAAATTTCCAACGGTATTTAAATCTGCTTGCATACCAATTATTTTTGTGCGCGATATCAGTTAAACGATTTCAAAATAACAGTTAAAAATGACACAATTGTTTACGTGATAATTGATTTTAAGCAATAAGCACAGCGAAGAATTATTCACCTAAACTAATAAATTATAATGATTGATTGATCTGTACAGATAACGCATTAGCCCATTTAAAGTTATGGACGGGTCCAACTTATTAAGATGAATACAGACTGAATAGAATCGTCTATCGCTAAGAAGTAGTGTTGGAGTAATTGAATAATAAATTAATAAAATAAAAAAAAAAAATTATTTATGAATGAAATGTACCTGATTCTGGGGTTTGATCCTTCATCTCCATAGCTCCAACCAGCGGAATCAGAAGATCATCAGCAGGGCAGCAGCAACTGGAACTGGAACACACTTCACACCGTAACACTGAAAACACTGAAAAATAAAACACAGAGGGGAAGCAGGAAACTTTGAACACGGCGGGAAAAATTAAAAGAAAACCAGATCGATACTTAAAAAGGATGTAATGGGAACAGCACTGGCTTAGACATAATTTCGAGGAAACTATTCGGCGGACTTATACGCGCGTAGTTTCGTGCACGTGCGATGGTGCGCCGCTGGTATGCCGGAGCGGACCGTATCGCAACGGTACGAGTCAGCATCTGAGGGAGGGTTGTACCGCTAGGGCGGCGAAGGCGATGGGCGGCGGCGCGACGGCCGCCCTAGGCGCGCCCGCTACCAGGAGCCCATATTCCGCGAGGAGTGCAGCGAGCACGTGCGTCGGGACGCACCGCGCATGCCCCACCAAGGAAAGCTAGGGGAAATCGGCGCGTGCGAGAGGGACGGACGTACGCTAAAAATAGGGGTGCGATCGCAACGGCCGCGACGCTAAATCGGGAAGCGTCAAGCAGTCTACAAAGTTGGCTGATTGCGCTTGTGTTGGAAAGCACATTGTTACAGTTCAGTTTAGAACTAGACGTGCCGTGGACTCAATGTTTGGCTATATTTGTAAACTCTAACCAGTTAATCATTGTAGTTCACAAAATATAAAATATATTTAAGCCATTTGCATATTTTACGCGTATCGATATGACAGTCAATATTAAATATTAGCATGTTATTCCGTCATGATGACATTTTTATATTATTGCCAGTATAATAATTAATTAACAGGACAATCCATATCTATACATCCTATAATTCACGTGGCCATCTCGAAGAAACCGTCCACCTCGTACCTTACCCATCATAAAATGACCAAAATTATAGTTATACAGTGTATTTAGAAAATATTCAAAGCTGAAAAAAATTGTTTCGTTTTTAATCACTCTCTGATCAAAAATTGAAGGCAATGCATTTTGCTTTCATGAAAAAGCTTTTAATGTTGCTCTGATTACCACTGTTTCATGCCACCAGTATAATTTATAATTTGCGGATATATAAATAATCAAATAGCTTTTTATTCAAAGAAATTTTATTTAACTAATTCATCTGTGTGAAATTTTCACCCTATACCGCAATCGTTCACCGAATCGGTATATATTCAACTTCATTTAATGAAGAATAAAATTTGAAAGTTATAGCGTAACGACAAAAGCACCTTTGAGAAATAGTATGAAGAGATGTTTTTGTTGCTTACTTTGAGGTTTAAACTGTTGGATGTTTTAAAATATCTATGTTCGCGTGAATTTATGTGATTGTTAAAGTTTCTTACCTTCACGCGAATACACAGATGGTTGATAAAACTTATTTATAGATTTTATAGCAAATTAGTTTTTCAATTGGTTATGATTCAAGCATTTATTTAGAGCCCTAACGTCTGAGTCAATGCGAGCTACCATCAACCTTTCCGTATTTTAATCCCATCTATAATATCGGTCATTTTTGTCAAAATATTTTTTAATATTCAATAGAATAGGATAAAAAGTGGATCAAAGTATGATCTATAACGACACTCTAGGGAACTGGTAATTATAGTACTTGCAATTGTGTAGCCCTTTTTTGGCGTTAAGCGACGTTGGAAAATATCATTTTTGTTGAAGCATTTATCGCTAGTTGCATAACGTTATACATACAAATGGATAAAATTGAATTGTATATCTATGATTTTGAAATAAAGCCCTATACTCTATACTTTATTATGGTTTTTGGAAATTAGATGAAAACAGGTTTTTCCTGTTTTTGGGAGAACAGAATCAATTCATAATATTATAAATTGTACTCCTGAGAGTAATTAAAGCTGATATTAATATTATAAAAAATCAAACTGATTTTAATGGTCTCGTTATGGAATATTTAATGAAAATTGCTTACGAAAAGTTCATCAGTAGGAAGTATACTCTCATAGTAATATAATAAAAATAACGAATCTCTTTTTCACTGTTTTTCCTCCAGAAATATGCAGTGAGTGTATTAAATTTATCGAAGATATCTGGGAGCAATCGCCTAGCTGCTGTTTTTGACAGCTCTCGATATAATTTCGAGACTGAATCTCAGCTATCTTCTATTAGCCAACGATCTTTGTTTTTGTTTTTTTTTTTTTTTTTTTTTTTTTTTCATTGCATTTAATATCTCCTCAACAATTAATATTTCAGTGACCATACTACTGATAACCCCGACCAGGTGTGGTCCGTAAATATATAAAAGAGGACTGGGAGTTACGTTTTGGCAATTTCTACTTATAAAATCATGTAAAGAAAAAACTAAAACAACGTATACTAGGTATACTAGGTACTAAGGTCACCATACGGATGGAAGAAAGTTTATAAAATAATAAAAAAGTTTTTATGGATTTTTATACACTTAAAATAACATCACAGACCTTAAAACAACGCCAAAGTGATATATTAACTTTGACGCTATTTTAAGAGCATCAAAAAAAAAGTTAAAAATATACCATAGCATAAAAATTACGATAGACAAAAAAATAAGGAAAATCCTAGCGTACGTATAGACGATGAGATAATAAAGTAGGGTCACGCTGAACGCCGATATTGGATGAACATGTATTAATGTCCAGAAATATCAACGTGAAAGAATGCAAGATATGAGTTATAAATTGTATGGAGAAGGATGCAATAAAACGATGTAAAGTGGAAGTAAAATACTTACACGTTTCGTCTAGTGAGTGAGGTGGCCGTAGCCCAATTTTTCAAAAGGTTGTCAACTCATCTGCAAACATCGCGTGTAGCAGATGTCCATGGGTGGCGGTATTCACTTAACATGAGATGAACCGCCTGCTCTCTTGGCAACTTTTCACATAAAAAAATAAGAAGGGCAGATTATCCGGGTAAATACTAGCATCACAGAAAACCGCGTAAAGTGGAAGAAGCTATAGATTTTTACTTACACTTTTCATCTGGTTTCCGAGTATACCGGGCCATGCCCATTAAGGGTTATAAGCATTCAACATCAGTTGAATCGCCCATTCGTTTTCCACCGTCCATCAATCAAAAAATCCATTGTAAAATAAAACCCATATGTATTGCCAATTCTGCCTATAAAGATGACATGTGCAAAATTTCGCATTTATATCGTAGTCTGTCGGAGGCTTATATTCAGGATACTCGAACAGGCTAACATGATGATGATGTTTTTGAAATGTTTTTTAATGTTCAGCATGGTAACACCTTTTTTTCGACACATCTAATATTTTTCCTATTTAAGTTGGCAGAACTTCAATACTCTCAAAGTTTAATACAAATATTCGTAAAAATACAAGCAAACCACGAGAACACTTTTTACTATAGTGATAGCCTATATGTATATGTCCCACTACTGGACAAAACCCCCTCTGTATGTCTGTACTGTATTAGGGCGTTTTCCACCACGTGACCCCACTGCGGATTTGCGGATTTTACCTATATCCGAAATTGTATGTTATTATTCCAAAACTATGCAGGTTTCCTCCCGATGTTTCCCTTCACTGCTGAGCACGTGATATGTCAGCACTAAAAAATGCACTGAACGATTTGAACTCAGGTCACTAGTTACTTTTTTACTAGTAATCAATAATTATGGTGAATTCATAGTAATCCAAAAATTCTGACACAAGAATTATTAATAGTATTGTTATAAAAATTTTGTCCATATCTAAACTAATACTTTATCGCATTAAACATCGATATCATTACATAAAACGTTATCAGCTAACACGTATGTGTGTGACATGTGAGGTACACACACGACACACACACCCAAAGCGAATGGCTGAAAACGAACTCCTAACGTTCACTGAAGTCCTGGTATTTCTAACCTTATTACTGAAATTTCAAGGAAATTTTCTTCGCGATTTTTGCAAAACAGTATTTTTTGATACACATATTAATTTGAACACATAAATTTAATGGTACTTCTTACCATTAAATTTATGTGTTCAAATTAAAGTACGTAAACCAAATTTTCTTACTTTATACACAAAATTTAAAAGAAAGAAAACTTAGGAATCAAGTAAATTAATTTCCTAAATTGTGTATTATTTTTATATACCGATCTCTCGTTGCAAAAGTAACCAATTAATAAGTTTAATTTTATGCTCTGTCCTTTTTTCAATACTAGTTGTACAATTCATTAACAATAGGTAGCTGATATAAAACAAAACAAAGTTGTAATGTTATCAAAGAAAAAAAAATGTTGCGATGTCAGTTAACATTCATTTTTCTATTTATGATAGGTCCATCCAACTTTTCGTAATGACAGTTACTTGACAGTGATAGGCATATGTCCGTTACGTCATGGCAGTCAGTTTGTGCCTGTTGGTACTAGGCGAACATAAACCAACGGCGGTTCGAAGAAAATCAGGTGTGAAAATAGAACGCGCTCCCACACCGTTCAAAAATAGAATGCCCACTGCTATGCCGGCGCGATTATCCGAAGCGTTTTTAATACCGATATGGGGCCAATAGTGATGATTTATTTAGTCCGCCGCGCGATTTAATGTTTGTAAATCCAATATGTTACCTTCGATTCGCCATTTAAGCTAGGATCAACAATGTATATTTTTCTATTGCTTGGTAAACGAAAATATAAGACATCGGAATTAATTCTGCTTTACAACTACAAATTAAAGTTCCTTTACAAACAATTGTTGACTACCGACCGATATAATAAAATTTTTATGAATATTCATAAAATTGATGTATTGGAGACCATGGAAATTTTCCTTTCTAAAACAAATTGATCTTGAAATAACCAAAATGCGCTGTGACAAAGATATTTGAGTTTTTACAAACAAAAAAGACACAAGCAAAACGAATACAAGTCTTTATATGTTCTTTTAAGTCTACAACAGTGCTCATAATGTCTTTATTTTTTAAAGAATTAATACAAATAAGACATTAAAACAATGAAACATCGCAGAACCAAAACAACAAAAAAGAACTCGACAAATTGGATTGTATAATTAAAAATTTTGTTTGCGTAAGATCTTAAGATAGGTTACGTGCGTATACCGAACATAATATTTTAGCCTCACAAAACAAAATTGGTCTCGCCATTTTCAATCTTACTACTTAAGGATTTTAAATGATTATGCCATGAGGGCAAAATACCGCGTCATGACAGTTCTATGTTACCGTTAAAGGAAGCTTATGCCTTTCTCTGTACCAGGAAGTCAAGCAAGGACGCAGCCAACGCGCTATAATAAAGCAAATGTCGTACCCCACCCATATATACGTGTTATTTGATAATTTTAAGTACATTTGGCAGTTACATACTTAATACGGAGCGCCTTATAAGCAATCGAGCGTTAAGGTTGTACCGTTCCGTTTTTTATGATAAATACAATTAATACACAGCTTTATGTTATTCATTGATTTAAAATTTAACATAAAATATTGCACGTAGAGTTAAAAACAAAACTGTTACAAAAATTACAAAAACTACTAAACT